ACCGAATTCCCCTCGCCCTATCCGCCCGGAACATGAACTCCCCGAGGCCCTGAACGCATTATACCAAGGACCGTTGCCTGAGCGACTTACAACGACCTTGCTCTAGCGTTGACACTCACTCTCCCTGTCATGCTAAAGCCCGCAGTACTCCTCTCACCACGACTGATCGATGAACCTCCCGCAAGGCATCGCCCAACACTGCGACTGCCGTGATAGACACTTTACCACCAGTGCCCACATAGCCTCGCCCCGCTCACCAACACGGAGCCGCCATTACCGCCGTGCTCGCGCCACTATTCAGCAGTAGGTTCCCGGAAGACCCGGCAGTCGCGCTCCCACTACTGAAAGCTCAACACGCCAGATTGACCAGACGTGCCGCCCGTAGCCGTACTCAGCGAAATCGAGCCGCTCGTGCTTCCCACGCTGCGGCCACTCAACACACTCACCGAGCCTCCCGTCCCACTCGTCGTGGACGTCGGAGCCGTCGTGTCGCCCGCCGTCATCCAGAGAGCGCCACCCGACAACGCGTCGCCACCGCCCACAGACAAAGAGATCGACCCGCCGTGACCGCCTGTTGATACCCCTGTGCTCACAGACACCAATCCACTGTCGCCCACACGACTCGCACCGCTCGTCAGACGCAGACTGCCACTCACACCGCTTGTCACCGCAGCGTCCGGAGTCGTCAGCGAGATGTCACCGCTAGATGACTTCAGACCCGCGCCGCTCTGCAGCGAGATCGACCCGCCACTCGTCATTCCGCTGCCTCCACTCAGCGAAATGGATCCGCCCACAGTGCCAGTTGCTGTTCCCGTACCGGTGTGGGTGTCGCCAGATCGCAGCGAGATCGACCCACCAGTGCCGCTGCTGCCCGTACCAACCTTCAAGAGCACAGACCCGCCGTTGCCACCCGTGCTGCCACCAGTGCCCACCGTCACGCCGCCCACCGTGCCTGCCGTCGCAGAGCCCGTCGTCAGACTGATCAAACCCGACGGACCGCTAGAGCCACCATCCAAAGTGCGCACCAGCACGCTGCCACTCGTGAGGCACAACTGAGGATCAGCAGCATTAGACGCAGTGTAGTGTATTGTCGTGTTGATATCTTCGGTAAGGTCCGGCAGGAATGCCATCTCCTTCGCGTAGTCTTCCAAGCCAATGTTGTTAACTGGGTGTTCGTAGAAGTCATTTCTCGTATCCTCCGTTGCTTCATTTCCTTCGGTCGTTAACACTCGAGCAACCGAGATGTACGTTCCGTCCAAAGTTGCTACAGATTCTTCCTTTGACTCAACACCGGTATTCGCTTTGATTTCAACAGTCGGTACTGGGTCCATCTCCTTCCCATCCTGGTTTCCCATCTCTAGGCCATCTGCCGAGTCGTCGCTCGCAATATTGAATGCGCGGGCCGCCGACATATTGGGTTGCTGACTTTTGTTCAGCTCCTCGTTCTGCCGCTGTCTTGACAGTTCGGCATTCGCACCAATCTTGCAATGAATACTCGGTGCCGTACTCAACACCTTCAACGCGATGCCCTGCATCCTTCTGGATCAACCACCGATGTCTCGTTCGCAGATTTGGTGACACACAAGACCGGGAACAGCTTCGTCAAAACAGGTGACTCCATTTAATACAGTGCTGCTACTCGTCGCTTCCGATGGTCACCCGTGACTGGACACAAACTCTCGTTGGCGTATGTACAACGTTTACCGGCCTCAGTAGTTCGTATGTACGCGCTACCGAGGCTTCGTTTGCAATATTGCCTCCGCCATGGGTTGTCGTGTACGTGTCCAAAGGTTCTACGGAAGGCTGACCGTCGGCCGAATCCCCGGCTGTCACCCCAGACGCCAGACAGGCTTCCACTTGTTCTTGTTTCTCCAGGATCAGTGCCCAGCGCTCTGCACACGTCGATATTCGCATACTGCGCCGTAGGCTGGCGGTGGTAGTGCGTTACCACTAGCAATCAGGATGTGCTCGTGGTTCTTTAGCGTTGCGACCAGACGTTCTCGGCGATCGGTCGACAACTGAGGATCAGCAACATTAGACGCAGTGTAGTCTATTGTCGTGTTGATATCTTCGGTAAGGTCCGGCAGGAATGCCAGCTCCTTCGCGTAGTCTTCCAAGCCAATGTTGTTAACTGGGTGTTCGTAGAAGTCATTTCTCGTATCCTCCGTTGCTTCATTTCCTTCGGTCGGTAACACTCGAGCAACCGAGATGTACGCTCCGTCCAAAGTTGCTACAGATTCTTCCTTTGACTCAACACCGGTATTCACTTTGATTTCAACAGTCGGTACTGGGTCCATCTCCTTCCCATCCTGGTTTCCCATCTCTAGGCCATCTGCCGAGTCGTCGCTCGCAATATTGAATGCGCGGGGCCGCCGACATATTGGGCTGCTGACTTTTGTTCAGCTCCTCGTTCTGCCGCTGTCTTGACAGTTCGGCATTCGCACCAATCTTGCAATGAATACTCGGTGCCGTACTCAACACCTTCAACGCGATGCCTGCATCCTCTGGATCAACCACCGATGTCTCGTTCGCAGATTTGGTGACACACAAGACCGGGACAGCTTCGTCAAAACAGGTGACTCCATTTAATCCAGTGCTGTTACTTGTCGCTTCCGTGGTCACCCCTGACTGGACACAAACACTCGTTGGCGTATGTACAACGTTTACCGGCCTCAGTAGTTCGTATGTACGCGCTACCGAGGCTTCGTTTGCAATATTGCCTCCGCCATGGGTTGTCGTGTACGTGTCCAAAGGTTCTACGGAAGGCTGACCGTCGGCCGAATCCCCGGCTGTCACCCCAGACGCCAGACAGGCTTCCACTTGTTCTTGTTTCTCCAGGATCAGTGCCCAGCGCTCTGCACACGTCGATATTCGCATACTGCGCCGTAGGCTGGCGGTCGTAGTGCCACCACTAGCAATCAGGATGTGCTCGT